AGAGCCAAGCATAAATTTATAGTGGAGAAAGTCAGACGCACAGTGAGACTTTCTCCAACAGCATTCAGCAGTTCTGGAGCATTTTTGGAGGTATCGAGTCATCTTGGTGTGCCAAGGTTGTTGTTGGGGGAGCTTTCTGCGTTTAAATGTATGTGCCATGATGTCTAGTTGAGAGGAGAGGGTGATATTGTAGAAGGAGGTTGCAGATCTAGGACAGGTGAGGTTTGAGATAGGTAAAAGGAGAGTTTGGAGATTAGTGGAGAAATGTTCTAGGTCAAGACATTGGAGGTTTCTGTGAGATTGATGTACAATTGGGTTTTAGGTATGCCGATGTCAAAAGTCAGCAGATTGTGGGTTCAGATAGAGGAAAAAGAATATTGGAGAGATTAGAGGCGGCACAAGGATGGGTGAAGGTGAGATAAAGAGTATTTCCTTTGGCCTTATGCAATGGTCCAATTTAGAAACCCATACAGCGTGAAACAAATACTAACTAGAAAAGCTACAATTTCTGGGGAAATTGTGTGAAGTGTTCTTGCCTCCACCAGTAGTCTACAACTGGAGTTGGCGGAGTAACTGTTATCATTTATATAGCACATTTAATTGCAACGTTGTTACAGAGTTAATTTAAACCATACATTTATAAAAACATTAGCAGGTGTTCAAAAGGCCCTGTCTATGACATCACTTGCTGCTGCAGCCTGGCACAGGTCAGAGTATTTTGGCGGTTGCTATCTTCAAACGGTCGTATTTTAAAAACTATAAATCCTACAGCGAAGAGCTTTATATTGTGAGAATCACAAGACCCAGACCTACATTTTGATGCATGGTATGTCTCTGAAGTATTAAAAATGAAGGCACAGTCGCAGTTTAGAAATTGCACTTCAAATTTGAGCTTTGTAGAGTGAAGTTTCAATGAATGTCAATGGGCGGCGTTAGTTGCAAACAAATGATTATATTGTGAAAACTATCAGGACTATGGCTTAGCCGTTGACATGTTTAGTGGCAGCAGGGATAGCTGAACGTTTTGATATAAGATTTGTGTAGGTGGGCTTGAAAATGAGGGAGTGGTGGCAGTTTAGAAATCATGTCCTGATTTTCAGCTTTTGCCAGCTCCCACTCTAGCTTTGCCATTCATTCCTATGGGACAAATTTCGCCACAAGAGCGACGATATTCCGTGAACCATTCGGCGAAACGTTCCACAAAGTAATAGCAATCCGATCGGGAACAATCTGCACGTTTTGGTAAATTTTTGTCTATGTAGTGTAAAAACTGTGGGAGGAGTTAGGGTGGCAAATTTGGCTATAATAAGAATAATAATATATATGTGAGATAACAATAAGTGGTCTTGCTATGCAAGAACACTTAATAAATGATACTGGCACATAATAAGGGTATTGGTCAATATAGGAGCCAGAGTGTCAGATCCCAGCTCAAATGTCTATTTATGCAAAGTTCACATAAAAGCATTGCTGGTTTAACCCCTTAAGGACACATGACATGTCTGACATGTCATGATTCCTTTTTATTCCAGAAGTTTGGTCCTTAAGGGGTTAAAGGGGATAGCACAGATTAAAACAAACAAAAAACACAAAAACAAAACCAAACAACCAAAGTATTGCCTATTTTTAATGGGGCTTTGTTGCCATCTTGTGGCTGTTCAGTGAAAATACACTCTTGAACCTTTGCAGCATTGGAATGAAAAGTATCAGTCTTGTTAAGTGAGGACTATAATTTTCTATTGTGGACTGGTATCTTTGTTTTTATAAACAGTTGAACCTCGAAACTCAAATGTTCCTGTTCACGAACAATTCAATATTCAAATTTCGAGTGAAAAATGTCTTGGTGCACAAACTATCTTCGGTACCCGAATATTAAAGAGCCACTCACTGGGGCCATGTGACCCCCTCCAGCCAGCTCTCCATGGAGTTAAGATGTGGCTGAAAAGAAAGTTTGGAAGTGTCTCTTTCCCACCTGTTACAGGATAAGTGTGTTCTAGTGACCTGCAGAGAGGTGCCCACCTTGCTCCATCCCTAGCAGCCTCTACCTATAGCAGCAGCACTCAGGGCAGCCCTTTACCTACCTACATCACCCAGGGCAGCCTAATAGCATCCAGTGGGAGCAAGGACACCCATATACCCAAGTGCAGCAGCCCCCCTTTGCCCCCTGCTGGCAGCCAGTCCTGGCAGAGATGGGCAGTCCATCCTCAGTGGGGGCACAATACACCACTTGGTAAATGCCGGATCGCTCTCACAGGGAACTTATCACCAAGAGGCAACATGTGGCCCCAGACCAGCATGCTGGGCTCCTCCGTGTACTTACTGCTTCTACAGGAGACCCTGAGCAGGCGGATCCCCGTGCACCTTCCCCCAAAGCGGTAAGTACTGGAGCCAGACTTGCGCGCGCAATGTCAGCTATGTGTGTGCAGAGTGTGTACGAACAGTGGTCCCGTTTACAATGTAAAATGCTGTAATTTTGGGAGTCTAGAACGGATTAATAAAATTTACATGCATTCCTATGGGAATTGTTGAATCGGAACTCGAACAGCTTTCTGGAATGGATTAAGTTTGCGTTCCACTGTATATATTTTTACCCATATTGTTTAAATAAAGTACTTTTTTTTAAAATTAATTACATCCAGTCCCTGGAATTTGATTATATAATATCCCTGGACATCCTGCATATCCATAGGTGGGGATCATTCCACCCAAGCCTTTATATACCATAGCAGGTCCATGCTCTGGGTATTGTAAGTAGGCTATTTCTGTATTACACTAATGGAGTTTTTTTGTCTATGTTTCACTGTTTCATGTTTCACTGCTTGAAGCCAAGACTCCTGGATTCCATCATTGTATCCACAGTTGGGGATTACACTCTTGAACCTGTCTATGCCTTCAGTAATAGAGCTACACTAGCTCTATAAAGTGTGAGTGTTCTTTTGGCACAGCAATTTTAATTAATCTCTGTTAAGATAAATCCTACGGAAGTTTCCTCCACTCTTTGTATGTAAACAAATAGTGGAGGAATTTTTATTCATATGTATTATCAAGCGCAGTTTACTGCTTTGTGTGTATTTCCTGCTTCTGTTGATCTGGTGCTGAGTGCCTGCTCCTGTGCTTCTAGGATAAGTGCCCCAGTGCTGTCTATTAGTCATGCTTTTGCCAGCCACTGTTAGGATTTTGTAATGTGAGCCACATCTGCCAGTAGTACACCCCACGGAGAGGTTTGTCTTTCCATGGAACCTCCTCTTTTTCTGCATCCTCTGTCTGTTGTCTCAGGAATTCCCTTAGCAGTTCATCTTTCAGAGCCATCTTCATGATGTACTTGTGAATGCTCTGTGTGTCATCAAGGACTGTGGCCTGGACACTCCTCAGGTCCCGACCTCCTTCATTTTGGCTTGGGTACAGCATTTGGGTGCTGGATTTCGGGTTTAATCTTTCCATTCATAGTGAGTAATTTCTTGACATCCTTGTGACCAGTTCTTCTCTTGGCCCGGTTATTATTCCAGCTGGGTGCCTGATGATGGGAGGGCATATGAATTGATGGCTTGGATCTTGTTCGTGCTATTGAGCTGGGACTTCAGGACCTGTCTGACTCTCTGGAGGTGTTTGGGTGTTGCTATCCTCCTTGCCATGTGTTTGTGCTACCCCCAGGTATTTATACGAACGGCAGCCACCCAGAGAGAGCACTTAATTTGCAGTTTGCTTTGAAGTTAATGAGCCAGGGGATGGTCTGTGTTCTGTAGTTTTATCTACCGAACAGGGAAAAACAAAAGTAACGAAATAACATATGGATATATGTGAGTAGGTCAGAGATTCTAAACGGCTTAACTGCATCTCCAGTCTGTGAGGTTTTTTAAAAAAATTATTTTTGGATGCATGAGTGAACATATCAGCTTATTCTGCCACAATAGCAGTGATAAGCTCAGTAATACAACGCTTCACAATTATGGCAGTTGAGAAATGCACATTTTTAAAGTATATAGGTAATAAGTGGTAGCGGAAAGCAAGACATATGTCAAGTTTTACGGTTCACAAGTGAGTAAGGCAAGCAATATACATTAACCTGAAAATAAATATAACTGCGTGCGCGGTTCACGTATTGATTGGCAGATCTGCGGTGGTTGCTGGCGGCAATCTGCTCCTTCATCCCCCTGACGCTTGGTGACTGCTTCTATTCAGGTGGTATAACGATTACCACGCTGCCGGCCCCCGGCTCTCGAGGTTTCAACTTTGGGGGCTCCCCGCCCAGGAAGGCAGTCGTGGAACCAGGCTTGATCCGTGAGTGGGTAAACAGGGGATTTTTAGAGGGTCCGACGCTTGTCTGCAGGTTTGGGCTCCGTGGTCAATGGTGTATGCTGCTGCTTGTCCTGCGGGCAGAGCTGTTTGCAGGTAGATGCAGATGCTGTTCTCGGCTTCATTCACATAGTCACCATTTTGGCGCCCAGGCGTAGGATGCGCGGTGCTAGGCGTGCTCGGAGGGTCAGTTAGGCGATGGTTCACTCCAGTGAGGACCGGGATATCCCCCCTGGTCCATGGGGGGGGGGGAGCAGGGGCCCGTGAGACATATCATTTGGTTATTGTGTGGCAGCTAGGTTCCGAAGCAGGACAGCTGCCATCCGTCCCGCTCTCCACGCACATAGGCCGCAGACCCCGAAGCCTCGCAACTCCCGATCTCGGGGAACGCAGTGGCACCGGCAACCACCCGGACATGAGAGGTGGTCTCTTGGCTCTGAGTCAGGCTTTAAGCTTGTTTTTTTCCTCCAAATTAGGCCAGTTCCTGCAGGAGCCTCTCCAGCCCACGACCTGTCAGCATGGCAGTCGGGCCCCGATCCCCTGTGAGGTGTTTTGATGCACCAACCATCAAT